ACACACAGTAGCAACAATGCAATATGATGCTAACCACGGACGCAGCCATTTTAATTAAAGCCCAGACTCTCGTCTTTACAATACAAGTACCAATACTCTACCAGCAAAACTCAAGGAACTTAGCAGCAAAACAAAGAAAGCGAATTTCATGAAATAAAAAGCATAAATTCAGTCTTACCTTTGCTGGTTTTTGGTCATAATAATCCATGTTGAAGATAAAAACAAAATAAAACACTTCAGTAATCCAATGACGCAATGTCACACTGAGCAGGATCTTGTGCTTTTTTTTATACCTGCTGGAGTATTCAAATGTCTCTGATGCCACATTCCATCATTTTCTGGTTCTTCATAACAAAAAAAAAAAAAAAAAAACTCCATGAGGTGTACTCAGCTGCTCTACAACAACAAAGGATGGTGAACAGTGGAGAATTTCCTGTTTTGTCCGGACTTGAGCGGAGCCTCTGCCCTGCCGGTCTTCTGCGCATGTTTTCACGGGCGCTATACCTCTGTGCCCAAAGCCTCCCTTATTCTTTGTATTGGAGAGGGAGTCCAGCGCGCATGTGCCGGTTAGCGTAGGTCTATGGTAGAGATTCCAAAAGGAACAGGAAATATTTCGCAAGATGATTCGGTAGTGGTAAAAGTGTAAAAAACATTTTTAAACAACATTTAAATATAAATTATACACAGAACTTTTAGTCTGTATGATGTATATATTGTTTTATTTAATTTTCAGGTGGTTTTTATATTTTATATATATTTTGTGATTCCTATCTTCTTCTTCTTCTTCTTCTTCTAGCTGTGAGACTGGTGGGATGACGCCCTAGCGCCCTTTATGAATGAGTAGCCATGGGTGTTAGGCATATTTTGTGTTTGATGAACAACTTGAAATTTGCAAAGTTGCTTTTCTCCTTTCCATTCTTTTTGAAAACCAGGGACTCATCAAAGAGGAGGTCTCCTTCACATCTCAGCAAAGGATTTCACCCTTTACTGCAACCTAAACAAGACATGTGAATTTAAAATTTAGTTCATATCCTTTTGTTTCCCTTTGAAATATATCCTTATTTTGCAAACTGAGTTTTATCCTCAATGTCTGCAGAAAGGCACCGTTATACTAGTGGTCAGAGACATACACTCATTAGAGTCATGTTACCTTGGGATTTAATCAATAATTTGATCAGTTCTTTTCCAGGGTGGAATCTTTATACAAAATAATATTTCAGCTAGTTTCAATAAGAAGTGGGTGCACACGTTAAATTTTATTGTAAAATCTCTTTTATAAATGCACAATAAAAAGCATGTAAACAGTTTGTGCTGAAGGTTCTAGCATGCATTTTACACTGACAAGGTCAAGGCTTGTTACAGTTTTTTTCGATAGCTAAAACTCAAAAATCAAAAATGAGGCACGAATTTCACAACCTCTACTTCAATTCCCAATCGCCTGACTCCATTTATCACTACTTAAGATTGCCTTATCATATTAGCTCTCTGATTGTCCTCCTGTACACTCTGATGTCAATTTCACATCACCATGCTGTCAAAACACAGCACACAATGTTCACGTTTACACACACTTGTCAAAAAAACTCAAAGCTTCAATCAACAACACACAAATATTCAAATCTCTAAACTTTCATGTCTGGTGAGCAATTTGCAATCAGGGACTGCAGCATAAAAGTAAGTTTCCACAAGGCTACACAGGTGTATGAGTGGTTTCAGGACCACCCACGGTTTTCCATTTTATACCTTCCACCTTTTTCCCCCTTCCTCAATCCCGCTGAGGAGTTTTTCTCAGCCTGGAGGTGGAAGGTGTACGAACGGAATCCACAGAGCCAGGTCCCACTGCTTCAAGCCATGGAGGAGGCTTGTAGAGATGTGGCCTTTGAGACCTGTCAGGGCTTCATGAGGCACTCAAGGCGGTACTTCCAGCGCTGTTTGGACCAGGAGGACATCGCCTGTGATGTTGATGAGGCCCTCTGGCCAGACAGAGACAAGGGGCATGATGCCCCATGATTATGCTTGAATGGGAGAGGGGGGTGGAGGTGGTTACTGTAACTGTAAAAATAAAATGTTTTGTCTCAAAATTTGTGGGGTGGGGTGGCCAGCAAGGGGGGTAACTGTAAAAATAAAATGTTTTGTCTCAAAATTTGTGTGATGTCTAATGTTTGTTTCAGAGAAAAGTGAGCACTGTCATACATTCAGTGTGTAATTCATTGTGTTCCATTTAGACAATTGTGCTTTCAGTTTTGCTCTTCAGTGTTCTTTCCATGCTTGGTAGTGTTCACCCAAAAGCTACTTGTGTTTAAGCAATGAATGGTATGTGTGTGTCATGTGAAAATGTGGCTGTGTTTACCCAATGAAAACATGTGTTCCATTTGGGGAACATGCTACGATGTGTGATGACATGGTTTTGTTGCAAAGGGAAGCCACGGTTTAGGAATTTGTTTGTTATGTTTGGGGTTTTGTGTGTACAGTTTTGAAAAACGTGTTTTAGCAATTGAAAAAAACTGTAACTTTCTATTATTGATCATGGTTGACTTCAGCTGGTAGTTTCTCATGTCCAGCATAAAAACATATTTGCATGACAACACTTATTGGACTGAACCATACTCATCTGGTACCCTTACTCAGACTTTAAAGAGCAAGTCACCCCCAAATAAACTTTTTTTTTGCTGATAAACTAAATAAACGAGTGTCTAATTGTGCTGCAGACACGTGTCGCCAATAATTTGGTACTTCAGTGCATCTTAGTTAAAATTTAAATATTCTGCCTAAAACTGGCAGTGTTGTGCCTTTGTCAGGTAAAAACTCTGCACTGTATTTTAATTTAAATCTGCCACCGCAGTTGGCTAAGAAGTATGCTATGATGTAAACTGGTACATTATGATGTCACAATGCTGTTGTGAGCCTGAATGTGTGTGTATTTGTTAGCGGCTCCGCCCTCTCGGTCTGCCAGGCAACAGCATGTGTTGCATTTTTCAAACATTAAGTGGGAGTGGAGTTAGACTCTGGTAGGGGTTGACTTGCTCTTTAAGTGTGCCAGGCACAGCAGAAGCTCAGGAGGTAGAGCAGGTTGTCCAGTAATCGGAAGGTTGCAGGTTCAATCCTGTCTTTGACCAGAGAATGCTGCTGTTGTGTCCTAGGTTAGACACTTAACCCACCTTGTCTGCTGGTAGTGGTCATCGGAGGGACCGGTGGCGCCAGTGTTCGGCAAGCCTTGCCTCTATCAGTGCACCCCAGGGCAGTTGTGGCTACATTGTAGCTCATCCCTAATCAATCAATCAATCAATCAATCAATCAATCAATCAATCAATCAATCAATCAATCAATCAATCAATCAATCAATCATTTGATTGATTGATTGATTGATTGATTGATTGATTGATTTTCCATTGGGCATTTCATGTGTGAATTGGCAGTGAATGCTGGTCCCGCAAGGTCACAAAATCACCAGAGAATTACAAGGTCACTCATGATTTCATCAGTTCACAAAACAAAAACCACGAGAAGTTTGGCATCATGTTTCCAGAAGGCTGTGATTGTTTCCGTGTTGTTTTTGCCTCGGCCATGGAAATTTGACATAATTTTTTACTAGCTAAGCAACTGGAAATTTGCACTTGTTGGTTATTTTGGAAGTTGCTGAATTTTTTACACCGCTCCTGTGTTTGACTTCCTGTCTGGCCCGATCTGAACTGCTGAACGTGATGTGTTTTGGAAGTGTAGTGTTTGTAAAACAGACTTGATGCATAGTGGAGCAATGTGAGACTACTCTCCTGGAATGTGTCCAAGATACACTGCTTTAAAGCTGGTGGAAACACAGCAGTTCACTGTAATGGCTGCTGTAAACTGCGTAGTATGCTTTGCAGATGTTACACGGTGCTTACACATTTGTTGAAAAGCTATAGCTAGATTAAAAGGAATACATTTGTTCATAAAAAAAATAATAACAAACACACAGGAACCAACTAAGTCTAGAATGGAAACAGATCACCAGTGTCTTAGTCAGGGCCGGATTATCATTGCAGGGGCCCCTGGGCACAATGTGTCTATGAGGTTCGTTTTTGTACCTGGTAGCAACAAACAGACACCATTGAAGGTAATCAGAAGTGAGGAACAGAAAATGAAAATTTTCTTTCAATGTTTAGAGCAACAGGAACTCTGAGAGTTTGCAGGCGCATCAGTGAGTTTGCGGCCGCTGCGCAGGGGGTGGGGGAGAGGGCTGAAGCAGGAACAGTAAAAATGCAAAAACTACCGTTGTTTAAAGAAATGTGTGGTAACTTAGAAAATGTGGGCACAATTTTAATTACTTCTCAACATTTTTCTCCAACGTTAAGACAGCTGCACAAAAAAAAGACTGCTGCTTGCGTGGGCCCCCTTGTAGCTGTGGGCCCCTGGGCCTGTGCCCAGTTTGCCCGTATTATAATCTGGCCTTGGTCTCAGTCCACCAACAAGAGTCACTAATGGACCAAAAGATTGGATGAACGGAAAGAAAAAAATGCATCTTCTCCAAAACATTTGGTTTTAGGTTTAACTAAATCTGCACCTGCCCCCATAGTCAAACCAGTCACTTTTGGAGAAGCATTCTATGGTCAGAGCTGACAACTGAACCTTTGAGGACCTGTTTTCCTTTATGCCACTCTGTGATGGACTGTTGATCTGAGTACTTTGTCTCCTAGAGAAATGTGCCAGCTCCTTGTAACGCTGATGCATGGGTTTAAAAAAAAGTGGGGTGGATGAATGTTTTGTTTCATTTGAAATTTAAAAACACCCTACAAATAAAACCAATTTTCTTTTTGATTTCTTTTCTTTTGTTAAATGGCCTGAATAAATTGTTTCAAACCCTTGTAATCTCCTGACACAACAGCAGTAACAACATGAACTAAAAGTCATGGTCATTATCCAAGCTTTGAATGAAACACTTGTCTAGGCAGTGACAACAAATCATTGTATGACTAAAGAACACACTGTACAATATGCCACCTTAGTGTGTTTTTTTTTTTTTTTTTTTTTGATAAAGAGACAATAGCCATGTGAGTAAACCAGTAACCTCAATTCATTTTATAAAGCCGGTCAAAAACTTGTTTTGGCTTTGTGATCTAAACTCGGTCTGCTATTGCAAAAGGGACTTGATTTTACTGGGCTGAAGGTGAAACTTTTGTTTTCAGTGTCCCTGGAAATGAAATAGCTAATAGCTACATATGATTGATATTTTGTGCAGCCCACATTTTTAACCTCAGACTCATCTCATCCCTTGCAGCCCATCCACCTCACTTCCCCCCGTGTTTAATCAATTGTCATCATCAAGCCAAGTACAAAGAGAAGGGAAGCTGATATTTAATGTGCTCACCGCTTTCCCCCAGAGAACTGTCAATCACCAAAGGTCCATCTGCATAACTAATGGCTAGCTCCTTGTTGCCCTTTGAGTTGGAGGGGGATGTTCTGACTGATGGCAACACATTCATATGTTCACATGTGCAGGTCATCACTAATGAGTGACATGTTCTCTGACAGTGATTGAAGATGAACGAGGCTCATTTGGCTCATAGGGCATGACTGAAGAAAAGAGGCAACAGTGGGCTTTCTTCATCTCTAGAATACTAGATTTTGTTTCAAAGATTTAGTCACACAACTCACTACCATCTAGGCAACACTGTGAGGTACAGAATTTCTTCAAAGGCATGTGCTTTAGTCTGTTTCTATCTTTAGCACTGCAAAGCTGACCTACATGTGTGTATTTCCCTTCAGCTTACAACTTTTGTTTTTTCGTTACCAAATGCTGTTGGGCAAAGAGCTGTGATTAATAATAGATGATGAAAACCTTCCATTGAAAAAATAAACAAATAAATAAATAAGTATGCTTATGCTGTAATGCTCAGTGTGGTATAGAATAGAATGTGGCATACTGGTTAAGACAAGGAATTGTGAAATTAGTTTGAGTTTCGTCGTAGAAGTTATTCTGATCATATTTTTTCTCAATTTGATCTACATCAGATGTGAGTTAATTACATTTACTAATTATTATTTAAACAGAAAACAACGATAAAATGGTCTAGGTGCATGATTCTTTCATGGGATGCGAGAGGCCCCAGGTCCCCATCCCGGACAAGCCCCCATTTATGTTACAGGCCGGCTCACGGGACCTTAACATCAGATGGAGACCAAACAAATTTCTGGAGTTTAGGAGTATTTTAAAGGAAAACAGCCATTTATGATGCCCCACCAAAACAGCAAAGAAGCAAGAGCTCCCAAGCAGCCTGAAGCTGTATCAAGCAGGCTTTTTGTCTTTCACCTAGAGGTGCAGCCACTCAGTGCAATTAAGGACTGCACACAGCTAGGCCAATAGGACAGAGGGGCGTAAACTTAATTATACTGCAACACCATTTAGTGACGCTTCTAAATTACTTGTTTTCTGGTAGGAAAAGGAAACACAACACAATGTTAAAGTATCAAGTTACTGCCATTTAGCCAGTGACCGCTTCGTATTGCAGTGGTGGATAATTTATGTTCAAACCACGTTTTATTGGCAGGAGAGCCATAGAAGAATAATTCAGTGTTTTACTGTGCAGATGAAAGTAGCTTCACAGGCCTCAGTGTCCTCTGGTGACTTGGACAATTACAGTGTCTTGGCAGAAGACAGCCAGGAGGGAGAGAAACAGGGAGATGAATATTTGTTTGGCTGTGTTCTGTCATATGGTGTGTTTGTTTCAAACCTACAACTATTCTCCAAATCTACCCCTGGAGTGAGCAAAAACCATCTCTGCAATTATTCATAATTCAGAAGAAGTCTTCAGCAACCACTTTAAACACAACAATTACTAACATGGGGGCTATCCTGCCTTCGCTGGAGTGATCTCGTTTACAAAAGTAAATTTACTCCGTCGTTTAGACTATCAGACACATTGAGATTTTACCCAAAAAGTTAAATATTTATTCTTTTTTTTTTTTCAATACAATTGCAAGTTAAGGTCAACATGGAATAAAGTGGGATATCAGGTGAATGTGAACAAATTTATCATGTGCTACCCCAAATCCTTCCCCCTCTTGTTTTAGACACACCGTTTTGTAGGAACAGATATCCCTTCCCTCCCATAAAGTAAACAAAATATTAAAAACAAAATCAAACATCTTGGGAAATAAAACAAAATTATATTTTTTTGCACACATTAAGACAAAAATCTGGAATATATAATGGCTCCTTGTGGCACAAAGCTGGCCATCAGCCAACTCTTTTTTTATTCCTAAATCACTGTAGCGGTTTGTGCCACATTACCTTAGAAATGGCTGTGGAGCGGGTAAGAAAAGACTCAAGTTCTCAAGTTCAGATTTCCCCTTTTTTTGTTTTTATAAATCACTAAAACGCAGCAAAATTTCAGTCTTAGCTGTTCTGACACTACAGTTCTTTAGTTTTTTTGTCTATTTTTCCGTTACCTCTCTTCACTTGATGTTTTACAAAACTTACCATATAAAATAAATACAAATATTTGTATCTTTTTAACAGTGTTCGTTTTTTACGGTCCACATGTTAATACTGAACCAGTGATCTGCGCAGTCCTCTGGCACTGCAGCTCTTCTTCCATTCGTCCTCCCTTTCTTTTTAGCACTTTAGCACAAAAAGTTCACTGTTGCCACCATAATTACGGCATGAATAAATACATGAATGAATAAATAAATAAATAATTTCAACGTTTTCCCCCTTCCATAAATAAGTGCAAACTCTTTTCAGTTTGCATCTGCAACCCTCTACATTCTGATTATTTTTGTAGCTTAAAAATCAGCATTTATTAATTTTTTATTCGTAAACAAACCTGTCTTAAATATTTGGGTGTCTTTAACTCTCTTCATCGCTAATGTAAAACTTCAAATTTAAATTCCACCAAAAAAAAAAAAAAAGCAAAAAAGGGTGACAAAAACCAAAGTTTGCTTAAATGAATTTTAACTTTCATGTCTTTGTCTTGAATCAGTACACGAGGTTAGCTCTGATGGTGTCAGTAGAGTGCCAGAGGGTCAGGAGATAGAAAAAGGAGAAGGAACAAAAAGTGTTTAACAGTCTCTCGACTGGCGAGAAGCTGTGCTAGGACGCTTCCTCCTCACGGTTTCCTGGAGCGTAGTAGCCTGCGAGTTGCCTGAAGCGTGGTCCCCAGTCGTGGAGATAGGAGAAATCCTGCTCTGATGTGTTGGACAGCGTGTGGATAGAACTGAGCGAAAGCGCAGGTGAACTGGTGCCCTCAAAGGCATATGTCTGGAAAGAGTCATACGGTGGCACAGTCAGGTCAGCGTCAGCCTGCTCCACCTTCTTACGTATGTAGCCTTTGAAAAGGGAGAAGTCCGTGGCTGCGGCCGTGGCTCCGTCTGAACTCACGTTCACTCTGTTTGCTTGTATCCACTGTGGCAGCGAGCGGATGTCCGGCCCAGAGTCGCAAGTCTTGGCCTCTGGGAAGTCATAAAGATTCCTCAGAGCGCTCATGTCATAAGCTTCAGTGTCCTGCTCCCCGCCACCTTCGTCATTGTATTTGATGACGTTATCCCTCATGTCCTCCTCGTCCTCTGCCATCCTCTGGCCCTTCCTGTGGCGTTTCAGGGTTAGGATCAACAAGACGAGAACTGACAAAGAGGAGAGAGAAGAGAGAAAACCATCATAAAAAAGTACTAAATAATAATAAATACATGAAATAACTTCATACACAGACTATGAACACTGATTATTGCACTACATGTATGAAATAATGCATAATGATTTGGATGGGTAACTTTGTAACTACTCACATTTTAACTTTGACTTCAAAAGCAAGATGATAAGTAAGTTTTACATTTCTAATACATCAGTATAGATTTTAGACAACTCTGATGGACCTACTAAGAAATAAACATCAAAAGGCTTAATGGTGGCCAGTGTCTGCATCAATACTCATCCAACTCTATTAAAAGTAAAACTAGTACAACTAGCTACAGCCAAAGAGTCAAAAGTATCAGAAAATGCATTGAGTTTGGAGCACTGAAAGATCAAACAATTAAAATGTATTATTATAAACAAGAGAAACAAGAGGAAGACCTCGGGTACCTATAGATATGTCTAACACTGCAGTTTGATTAGATTTAGCTCAGACATCCGTCTCCTGACAGCAAGAACATATATCAGCATTTCGAAATCTCTTTTACACAAACACTTCTTCAAAATAAAAGACCCCTTTTGTTTCAAATAGTGTGACTTTTACTAAATTAATGGAACACCTCATTTTGAAAAGTTCTAAAGTAGCAGCTTTTATAACTTTTTTTGACTAAATTAGTTATAACCTGAAGTTGTGGTCAGAACAAATACCTGCAGTTTTACATTTTGATAGTTTACAGCAAATAATTTGATTAAATATGGAGTTTGTTAGATTTTATCTTAAACAATCCCCATTGGTCATGCTGCTTGCTGCTCAGATAGTGGCATTTTTGTGACTCACAAATATTTGTTAAACAGCAAATTAGCAGTCACAGCAAAACAACAACAACAACAACAACAACAACAAAAAAATAATCGCAACTACTTGTAAGTATGTCATTAGTTTTAAGTAAATTAAATTTTCATGTGTTTAAATTTGGTGCTGGCAAGTTACGATTTTGTGAAGAGAAACACTCTGTTTACTATTTACTTTTCATTTATTCATGACTAAATAAAAATTATATATGTAGTCCTGCTCCACCACTTTATAGTTGGTTTGGATCAATATTTTTTAAGATGCTTCGATGGCGTTTAAGTAATGCATGTGGGTGAGATTTAATGTTTATTAGCTGCTGGAATTACTTTTGCTGTGATGTATTTTTAATGGTAAAACTTATTTGTAAAATGTGACTTGGTTTGACTTGGTTTCTGAAAGCAGCTTTGGTCTGGGTCATCCCAGCATGCTGTAAAGATTTTTTTTCCTCCATTGCTTAAACAGAGTGAGCAACCACTTGAACAATGTGCCAATGGAATGACAATAAGATAAATCATTAAGAAGTAGGCACCGTGAATCTTCTGGAACAGATACACAGTTTCCAAAAACAACTAGCCCACAGAGATAAAACAAAAAAACAAACAAAAAAAAATAACAGCTGTCCGTTATGGTGTGGGCTCTGCTGGGCCATCAGGACTCCCAACATGAAGATATAATAAAGCCAGTTGTTTTTTTAAATCAAATTACACTAACATCATGTAATGGTAAATGGCCTGTATTTGTATTAGCACCTTCTTAGGGTTCTACAACCCCCCAAGGCACTTCACCACACAATCAGTCATTCACCCATTCACACGCTGGTGAGGATGAGCTACAATGTAGCTACAGCTGCCCTGGGACACACTGATAGAGGCGAGGCTGCCGAGCACTGGTACCATCAGTCCCTCCAACCACCGCCAGCAGGCAAGGTGGGTTAAGTGTCTTGCCCAAGGACACAACAGCAGGATGTTTTAGATTGTAGATGCAAAAAAAAAAAGGATAACTTGAAAGATGATGTTGTTAAACTCATTTACTGCCATTGACGACAAAAGACTAAAGTCGTCAATTGTGTTTTTAACCCTGTCAGGCTCAAAATAAGTTTTGATAAAAGGACGAACACCTAAGTCCTTCAGGGGTACTTCTGAGTTAAAAAATGCTCATGAAATACGTATGTGGAGTAACAAGGTAGGTAGGTTTTAACGTTGCAAATCTGCAACGCCTGCCTCCAGAGGGTTAAAGGGCGGGCTTTGGAACGAGCTTGCGCACCTTGAGAGTAAGCATCATGTCGTTAAAGTTAATGTTCACCCTTGTGTGTTAATGATGTGTCGGTCGCGAATGAACCGGCTCTAAGAGCCGGCTCTATGAAGTGAACGACGGGAGCCGGCTCGTCATTGGGAGCCGTCACCCTTCCTCCCTTCCCCCTCTTGCTTTGGTGAAAGCCACAGGTCAACATGTGTAACTGCGTGTCCAGACCAGAGCTGTAGAAAGAAAGAGTTGCAACACTCCAATAGACTTACATGGATAGAACGGAATGCGAAAGTCACGTGGTTCATGTAGCTTCGAATAGTTCCAAACAGCCCCGCTGCTGCATTGACCGCAGTTCATTTTCGGTGCTTCGGAAGGATTTTCTCCGGTAAGTTGATGAAATGTCTTTTATTTATTTATTTATTTATTTTTTTTTTGCATTGTGAAGCGTTAGCTAACCACCTCGTACCAAAATAAGCCAACGTTGATATTTTATGTTGACAGTTTTAGCTAGATAACCTTTAATGAGCTAATTGTGTGCAGCTTGTTGATTGTGAGCAGGAGGGGTTAGACAAGCTTGACGAGCTGTGGACGGGTTTATTTCAGTTTGTTTGATTCTACGTTTTAATAATATTCCCCACAGTTTGAAATAGGTTATAAACTTTTTACATTATGAGTTTTATTTGGGATTTCTTTGTACAATACGTTGCTGGTTGCTGTATCAACACAAACATGCATCAGAAATGGAGGCACAAATGGAGAGACCAATAATAAAGAAAATGTGATTGAGAAGACAAGTAATTATTTAATTTTTTTCAGTTAATTTTTCTGGATAACACTGACTGCAACAAACTGCTGAAGATGAGACAAACAGGATTAAGAACGTAAGAAGATATGTTGTTCTGTTTTGTGTACTCAAGTAATGAGAATAGAATTACAATATTTCAAGAACAGTAGTCGAACACAATAACTTTTAAAAATTAGACATTTTCCAAAAAACTGCTCATTTCCACTTGCTTTATAATATTAGCATTTGCAATTTTGTTATTATGGAATGACAAGAAATAGGAATTAACAATAACACAATTATAAATAAATAAATGTCAAAGAGAAACTAAAACTAAATTCTTATGTAACCATTAAAGGTTAAACTGTGTTGTGTGTCCATCTTCATGTTTTCATAGTGGCTGAGCGGAGAGCTGACCAGAAACAACGGTGGTGGCAAATCCCAGTTGGGTCTGTGATGGAGTGATGCACGCCTGGAGTGATTGCCATCTCATCCACAGTAAGCACACACTCTCTTCCATCTCTGTCAGATTTTTAACCTTCAAACTGAGCATGTCAGAAACCTCTCCTAACACACCTGGTTTCAGCTTAATGGGCTGCATTTTTCTGTGCAGGGTTCTAACATCAGGCAGAGGGATACTCGTGTCCTGAAGAAACCTGTAACCTGTTGAACCCACTGAAAAACAGAGCTGTACGGCCTTTTGATTGTCTGTTTACTCCATTCAATGCCTCTTGTGTTTTTCATGCCTTTTGGATTTTCTATTTCCTCCCTTAGGTTTTCCAGCTGGGTTACCTGGTTGCATCGCCTGTTCCTTTCTCCTCCTGGCCCTGACGCCGGCTCCTCATGGCTTCCTGGGATGTCCCTCTCTCCTGATACCATCTCATGTCCCCCCTCACTTTCCCTCATCTCATTTGCCTCACTGCTGCTGCTGCTTTCCTCGTTCTCTGAAATTATAATGGCACCATTAGAATAAAGAATAATTTTTTTAATTATATAAATACAAATGCCTAATATTTCAAAAGATTTGTACCACAGTTTACTTGAGTACAATATGTGTGGTCACTGGTCAGTGGATCAACATGCAGTGGTTCTGCTGTACTTCTCACTGTGGGATCCCTCCTCCTCCTTGGTTCAGGGCGATGAACAAACACAGCATCAGCCCTGAGTCTCACCTTGCCTAGTCTTAGCAGACTGTTCCTCCTCAAAATGTGCCTGTAGAGTGGTGTATTCGTGTATTTCCTGCCACATTTAACAGTTTTATTGCAGCCTTGTGCAGTTGAGAGCAAAACATGTAGAGCCTTGATAGAAAACATTATAGAGTGCACATTAAACTCACTGCACACAGCTTTTTGTTATTGTGATCTCTAGTCATGGTGAGGTTGCTCCTGCTGACTTGAGCCAACCATTTTCTTCTCTCTGCGTCTTTGGGGAAGCCATACATCCTGATTCCTCTCGCAGACCGACTGCTACATCCATATGCAGGGCAGCCAACCACGGTAAGATAATCAACCTATAAAGGTATTATTAAGATACTATTTTTGTACATATAGAAATATTGAATGGAACCAAACATATAGAGATGTAAAATTACATGGAAAAAAATTCATCCAACCCAAAAATTTGTAATTTCTCATTTTTAACCCAATGACATATTTTATTTTAATAATATTCAAAATGAAGTTATTCAAAAAAGTTTCATTAGGTCTTCAGTGCATTGCTCATAATTAATGATTCAGCTTATTTGAGCATATGTAACGACTAAACATAATGTTGGTAAAAAAAAAGCTTTATTAAAATGCTATTATACATGTTGTACAATGGTACTCTTTTTCACAAATAACACTTATTTATCTACTGTGTTTGACCATAGAGTTTTATTGAAATTTTGTTTTTAATTAGTTGCTATTAGTCAGGCTATAGATGCCAGATAAACTGGGTTACAGATGCATGTACTGTCTTCACATAAAAATGTAAAGTAAAGGTTGTAAAATGTATTCTACTGAACATAATAGATCATCGTTCAAAGCATAAACAGCTACATATTTTCTTCAAGGTAAGCTGGAGCAGAATTCTAGCTTTCAATAAACCACTTTAAATTGGATATTACAATT